AAACGACGCAGTTTTGGGTAGAGTCGTTCCTTTCAAATTATTTCGCACGTCAATTTTTTCATCTTCTTCTAGCTGTTAAACCCCAGCCAAAACCTCCTGTGAGGAGAAGAACGATGCTCTGTATCTCTCACAATGGCATTTTCTGCTAAAACCCCCAAATTTCACCTCCATTCGGACCACCATAACCATTATCACACTAAAGTTAGTCAAAGGCTCAAAATCTTTACTTGCTGTCACAAACCTTCCACCCAAAAGATCTCCTCAACAAAGTTCCATGAAATTTCAGTCTTGAATACCAGCTTCATGGACTCGCGGGGCCCAAATTCACACCTGCACGAACTTTGCATGAAAGGGAAATTAGAAGAAGCTATAAAGCACTTAAATTCGATGCAAGAGTTGCAGATTTCTATCGATGAGCATGCTTTTATTGCTTTGGTTAGGTTGTGTGAGTGGAAAAGAGCATATGAAGAGGGCTCTTGGGTTTACTCCTCTGTTTTGAATTCAATGCAAATTTTGAGTAGCAGGCTTGGAAATGCTCTTTTGAGTATGTTCGTGAGATTTGGTAATTTGAGTGATGCATGGTACGTGTTCGGTAAAATGGCTGAGAGAGATCTGTTTTCTTGGAATGTTATGGTTGGCGGATACGCGAAAGCAGGTTTTTTCGATGAAGCTATATGCTTGTATCATAGGATGTTGTGGGATGGTATTAGGCCTGATGTATATACTTTTCCTTGTGTTTTGAGGACTTGTGGTGGAATACCAGATGTAACAAGAGGAAGGGAGGTTCATGTCCATGTAATTAGATATGGGTTTGAGTCGGATGTAGATGTGGTTAATGCTTTGATAACTATGTATTTGAAGTGCGGCAAAGTTGGGAGCGCAAGGTTGCTGTTTGATAAAATGCCTAGAAGAGATAGGATATCATGGAATGCAATGATATCTGGGTATTTTGAGAATGGAAAATGTTTTGAGGGGTTGAAGCTCTTCTTTTTGATGTGTGAGTTTTCGGTTGAGCCGGATTTAATGACCATGACTAGTGTGATATCTGCGTGTGAGTTTCTTGGTGAAGAGAAATTGGGGAGGCAGATTCATGGCTATGCAGTGAGGATGGGGTTTGGGGTTGATGTATCAGTGTGCAATTCTTTGATTCAGATGTACTTGATATCTGGACAATGTGAGGAAGCAGAAAGAGTTTTTACTAGAATGGAATCCAAAGACGTTGTGACATGGACAACAATGATTTCAGGTTATGAGAGTAACCATTTGCCTGAAAAAGCCGTAGAAACCTACAAGATGATGGAGGAAGGTCGTGTTGTGCCTGATGAGATAACAATAGCCAGTGTTCTATCCTCTTGTGCTTGTTTGGGCCAATTAGCTATGGGCATTAAGCTTCATGAGCTTGCGATTAGGACAGGGCTCATCTCTTATGTTATTGTTGCAAACACACTCATTGACATGTATTCCAAGTGTAAGTGCATTGATAAAGCTTTGGAAGTTTTCCATCATATTCCCAAGAAGAATGTGATATCTTGGACTTCAATCATTATGGGGCTTCGGCTCAATAATCGGTGCTTTGAAGCTTTGATTTTCTTTCGGCAAATGAAACTAAATTTGGAACCTAATTCAATAACCTTAGTTTCTGTCCTATCTGCGTGTGCTAGAATAGGTGCTTTAATGTGTGGGAAAGAGATTCATGCCCATGTAATAAGGACTGGAGCAGGGCATGATGGCTTTGTACCAAATGCACTCCTGGATATGTATGTAAGATGTGGAAGGATGGGTCCTGCATGGAACCAGTTCAACTTACAGAGAAAGGATGTTTTAGCGTGGAATATAATGATGACTGGGTATGCTGATCGTGGTCAAGGGGTGTTAGCTGTGGAATTATTTGATAACATGATAGAATCGAAGGTGAACCCTGACGAAGTTACATTTATTTCGCTGTTATGTGCTTGTAGTAGATCCAAAATGGTGTATGAAGGTTTGAAGTATTTCAACAGCATGAAGGAGTATGGTATCACTCCGAATTTGAAGCATCACGCATGCATAGTTGATTTACTTGGCCGTGCAGGACAACTAGAGGAAGCTCATGAATTTGTAAAACAAATGCCTACAAAACCAGATGCAGCAGTATGGGGAGCCCTTCTAAATGCATGTAGGATCCACCATCAGGTTGAGCTTGGGGAACTTGCAGCTCAAAATATTTTTGAAACTGATACAAAAAGTGTTGGTTATTTCATTCTGTTGTGCAATCTCTATGCAGACAATGGTAAATGGGATAAAGTTGCAAAAGTAAGAAAGATGATGAGAGAGAATGGACTATGGGTTGATCCAGGCTGCAGTTGGGTGGAAGTAAAAGGTAAAATTCATGCTTTCCTCACTGGTGATAGTTTCCACCCTCAGATAAAGGAAATAAATGCTGTTTTAGAGGGGTTCTATGAGAAAATGAGAGCTGCTGGCTTCTGTTGTCCAGAATGGACTCCTACAAGTGAAGCTGAACCTTCAAAATCTAAGATCTTTTGTGGTCACAGTGAGAGACTGGCTGTTGCTTTTGGCCTCATTAATACTGCTCCAGGGATGCCTATCTGGGTAACAAAAAATCTCTACATGTGTCCGAGCTGTCACAATACCGTCAAGTTCATATCTAGGGTTGTTCGTAGAGAGATTTCTGTTAGGGATGCTGAACAGTTCCACCATTTCAAGGATGGCAACTGTTCATGTGGCGACGAAGGTTACTGAGAAAAACACAATTTGTATGATCTGTACAAAACTTTTGCAAAAGGAATATAATAGTAACTCAATGTGGAGGCAAAATAATGTATAACTGGGCAATGTTTCCATTGGCCCCCTCAACATGTCAGATATGATTAGCAAATTTATAGTAGATTCATATGCAGATGCATGAGACAAAGCTAAGAGTTCAAGGAGGAATGAAAGTACTCTCCCTGGAGCTCACCCTCTGATCGAAATTATAGCATCCAGGTTTTGTGCTCTGGCCTAACTGAAACTCACTCCTTCCTGACAGTGACAGGTGTAATTACGGTTTCTTTTTTGTTTGTAGACCAGTTTTGTCTTTGCTCTGCTCTATATATGATGTGTATTATACTAATTACTGAAGTACACGAGGTTGAAAATGAAATTCCAGATGTTGTATCTGTTATTAGGAGTGAAGTCTTTTTTCTTCTATCATTTCTATCTCGTCTGTAGATTGCTTTTGATGTGGAGCAACCTATTTAGTAGCAATTGATATAGGACTAGTTTAGAGAACAGTATATAAATCGGAACAAGAATTAGAACATTCAATTCAATATTGTCTGTTATTATCATCTAAATTAGCAACTTTTGTATAGAGGCTAATTACAATTTATGAGAAAAATATTGAAATAATTAAGATAAATTGCCAAAATGTAGAGTACAGTTCAATTTCTTTCTCTTCTAGATTTTCCTTGTTCTTTGGAAAAGAACTCTTACTACCTGACAATTAATACATCCAAAAATTAAAATTCCTTACTTAGCTCAATATGGGACATAATGATTGAAAGCAATTGGGAATAAACACACTGCAACTTGTATTATTATCACCAAACAACAAGCTGTTATCACAAACTAGCACAAATTAAACATTTTACATATATATAACTAAAAAAAAATTGTGAGCATAAATTTACTGAATTATTCTCAGCTCAAGAAGCTATGCTGTCACTCATGAGGAATTTCATATAACAATCATTAAAAATTCATTATTTTACTGCCTTCTTGATTAACTTGATGGATGACCTGATAAAGTTGTTCCCCACAGCCTGATCTTCACCATCATCACCAACTACAGTTGGCTTCTTCCTAATGAAGTCCACACCCTTTTTCAAGATCAGTGATGGCGAGGAAGGAATTCGTCGAAGTGCCCTGGCACTCTTGGACCTCACAAGCACTCTTTCCTTTCTGTTCTTGTTCTTTCTTTCCTTTGTCTCCATTTCACAAGAATTGTCATCTTGTCTTGGTGTTTTACTATGTTGTGTAGGAAAAATCTCTTCCATTCTCTTTCCGTGATCTTTCTCTTGAACAATTTTCCTATTCTCTTCTTGCAGGTGGGTTGCATTTTGCTTTTCCATCTGAGGATACTTGGAGTCGAGCTTTTTGACGATTTCATCACTCTTGCTTGCTTCAATTTCATTCTGAACTTGAGTATCCACTTCTCTTTCCATTCTCTTTCCATGATCTTTTTCTTGAACAATTTTTGACGATTCTGAACTTGCATTTTGCTTCTCCATCTGAGGATACTTGGGGTTGAGCTTGTTCATGACTTCACTCTTGCTTGCTTCAATTTTGTCCTGAGCTTGAGTATCCACTTCTTCTTGTGAGTTCTCTAACAGCAATTGGAGCCATCTCTCAACATTCCCTTTCCCACGTTGCCTTCTGCTCTCTTCATCTTCCTCAATTTCTGATTCTTGAAGTGCTGATAATTGAATGCTGTGTCTCTTTCCTTCTCTAATTTCTAGTCTCTGAAGATTATCCTCAATTGAATTTTCATCTACTAAAGCAATAATGGATTTATCAGGCTCATCGAACTTCTCTTTTGCGATGTGTTTTGCAGGATTCTGCAGTGTCCCTTCTATTTCTTGCGGCCTTTGATCTTTGTCAAGAGACAGACCAGCTTCTGATGCTTTATATTCTTCATCTAGGAACACTCTCAGTTCCTTGTGTAAAGGCATTCTTGGTCTGATTCCTGGAAGATGAAGAATGGCCTTATTCTCTCTTTCTTCAAGTAAAGAATAATCCAGTCTTGATCTCTTTCTTGCTTCTTCCCATTCAGGTCTTATCTGCTTCTCAAGCTCATCTCGTTGTTTAAATTTCTTGTGAAGTTCTTTTTCAGAAGCATCACATATTGCTTTTTGCGCTTCCAGTCTTGCCATAAGTGCACTACTAGCAGCCTGGTTCAGCCTCACCTGTTCCTTGTAAACGACACTCCTGCAGTAAAATAATTAGAGATTTAATAATCTTTTCACTTTGTTAATTGTCAGATTAATATTCAGGCAACTTGTCAATCTTACTGGTGCATAGCGTCCCTAATCATCTTTTCTAGCACAGTCCTATATGATGATTGAGCCTCAGATAACTTCCTGCACTTTTCCACTCTTCTTCTATGCTTTATTAGCTTCATCTCCAAGTCTTGAATTGTAACCTTTTCCTCATCATTTTTCCTTCTCATTTCATTCACATCCTCATCCAGTTTCTGTATTTCAGTTTGCATCCTTTGAGCTTCTTCTCTTTGTTTCAGGGAATCTCTCGCCATGACAATGGCCTGATATGGATTCGTAAAGAAATCGGGGTTTTCGTTCTCTTTTAATGCACTGGGTTTCGCTTTCCTTGCAGCTTAAAAGAACAAAAGATAAACAAAATGTGGTCTATATGAGATTCAAGAGGCACTAATAATGCACATATTAAGGTTAAATCTACTCCATTCATGATACTAACCAATTACAGGAGAATGTGGCCTTATCTGTCTATTGCAGTCCAGTGATTTCAAAGCCGATGAGGGATCATAAGGGTCCCTTCTAGATACAACAATAGCAGCAGGAGCAAGGCCAAGTTGCTTCTTTGACTCCACAAAATGTTGTGGAAAACAATGTGAGTCTACTGTTTGTGAATCATTTAATTCCTCATATTCACCTTCCTTAAACAAGAAGGAAAATGCTCGGTGCCTGTCACAGTAATGCAACAATATAATCTTGCGATATGATCAAGGTCTCGACACCGAAATGCAAAAAATGGAATGATTACAAGTAAAGAAAAAAATGGCACCTGAAATCGGAATTTGTGGAAGCAAACACGGATAAGAACTGGTTTATGGAAACACCCAGCTGTAGATCCCACCATGGAACAAGAAATTCAAGCTTATTGTGCTTTTTCTTGCATGCTTGCCATTGCAGGATCCTGAGGTTGCTTGGCACTGTCAATCCTCCCCCTACAAATCCATTACACCTCAATAAGTGAAGCCAGAGGAAAAGGGTGATGAAATAAGAAAGAAAGGGAAAATAAGTACTTGAGCAAGGAAACCAATGATCAATCTCCCAAGCAAGAGGGGAAGCTGAATCGGCATGGTAGTAGAGAACATTGCCATATGTGTCTACTCGAATTACTGCAGGATCAAAACCAGCATTCCTAGAACGAAGATAAGATATATTGGGTAAGTAATATAGTCCTTTACTCATTCTATGTTGGGAACAAATTCAAAATCCATAAGGAATTCATTTGTAAATTTACATTTATTTCAACTCAGAAAATGATAGAAATCCTACCTAAAATAACATAAATTTTGCTTTCATGGAACTTTACTTAGAATTAAAACAATAAAATCCAAATTCCATGGAATTTAATGTCAACTCCATCTT